TTTTTTTAGACGACATAGACCCTTCTTTCGTTCAAGTAAACACGCACCCACTGAAAGGACAGTTCCTTTCAACACGTTTCACAAACAACCGCTGGCGCTGTTTGTTCTTAGCTTTCCTAACCACTAAACCATATCATGTGTTTGGAATGTGTAAATTATAGTCAGCGTTGATACCACTGTGAGTCACGAGTTTATTTTTAGACTTCCTGGCATAGGAGGTGCAGTTGCATGCGTACATTCAGTGACTGCGTTCTCTCCATAACAGGGGAGTCCAAACTGCATAATTCTAGCGTGATCCTTTCAATTCTTATGCCATTTCGAAACTTAGCTTACAGCTTAACGTACACAGTACGTGAAACCACAGACAGGGGCATTTAAATACCACGGTACGACAAACGTCAAACCACCGTAAAGGGTTAATCTAAGAGAGTTGGTGGGACACCCTGAACAGGGGATGAGCCTATCACAAGGCCGATACCTAACACAAATAGATATCCATGTCTTGAGTGGGATTGAAACCCACGACCACTGTGACTGGTACTGTAGAAATATGAGTTCTAATTTGTTGCTGCAAGAAGATCGTGCACTTTCTAAAGCTTAGCTGGGTTTTGCTGCAGTCTCATATGATTTCAAAATGTAGGTATCTTGTCTGGATGATGTCTGTGGGATGATTCCTTTCTACTCACCCGAAGTCCCTGACCAGTTCTACAGACTCTGGACTTCTCTGTTCCTTCACGCTGGGTAAGTAGACTTTGTCTGTATTGACCCACTGATGTACTACTGTCTTGTGACTTCTCCAAACAGCTTTATGAACAAAATTAAAGGATTTCAGACTTGCAGCACAATGTGATCATTTGTGCAGTAAAACAGCCCACTTCTCAGGTAACCTTCTTGTTACAATGGCACAAATTCTACAATGCCTGCTGGTCATTAAATGAATTCAGATTATGGCCTGTTAATCTGTCTTGGGAGCCAGATTAACCTATCAGCATGGTGACTAGGTTATGGGCTGGACAACAGAGGAATTGTGTGTCTGGGGCAGGAGACCTCTTCACCTTAATGTCGAGATCAGACCAATACCAATCCAGCATTGTCTACCCGATGGGTATGGAAGTATCTGCTTCCTTGCACCTTTTTCATACAAGTAGCATGGTGCTTTTTTGATTAGATGACCTTAAGCTGAACACTGTTTTGTTTTTACATAATTTTTCTGGTATTTCTAAGCAAATTATAAGAATGTGTAGTATGAACTTGAAACATAGCGCAACAACAGGGAGGCTGTCTTGAGGACTGGAAGCTATCTGTTCAGATCTGTCAACTTATTGTATACTGGGGATCTCATCTGATGACAGATATATGATTTTGTTCTGCAGAATATGCCAGTTGCTCCTCACACTGGTGATACAGTATATCTTCATGAGGGATCTTGAGAAACTGACTGGGTCACTGAGAATTGCCATCATCTACATGGGCTCAGGGGTGGCTGGAAATCTTGCCAGTGCCATATTTGTTCCCTATCGAGCCGATGTAAGTATTTTAAATAGAAACAAAATTGTAATAAACTGGCTGACATGCTGACAATGTGATGCAGTGTTGCAGGGGTGACTCTTGTGTCTATAGTGAGAAAGATCCTCTCTGCACATTCAGCACATGTCTTGGATGTTGCCTGCCTCTTCTTTTTTGCCCTGACAACACTAGTACTGAAAGACGTTTTCTCATAGCCTTACAATGCATTACTCGTCAGAACCAGTTTTGGCATAAATTCAAACTTCCATTGTGTGTCTGTACCGTTCACAGTAAACATTAGTGTGTGCCACTTGCCTTGCCACCACTGTGGCTGCTTACAAAGGTTAGTTGCTAACCTGTTCACCATGCTCTATCAGTGGTCAGGATGGCTGAGCAGTGAATTTCCTTTTGGTACTGTTTAAAATCTGCACATAGGTGAGTGCAAGATCCAGAAGTGCTTTCAGTCCATGAAGTCACAAAGAAATGTGTTCTTAATGCTTGCAGGTAGGTCCTTCTGGGTCACAATTCGGTCTGCTGGCTTGCCTCATCGTTGAGGTGCTGAATGTATGGCCAATGCTGAAGCACCCAAAGAGGGCATTGCTGAAACTGATGGCCTCCACACTGGTGCTACTGCTCTTCGGTCTTCTCCCTTGGATAGACAATTACGCCCACCTCTTTGGTTTCATATTTGGTTTCCTCCTGTCCTATGCCCTCATGCCATATGTCTCCTTTGGCCCATATGACCGTCATAAGAAGATAGTTCTTATCTGGGTGTGTCTGCTCTTTTCCTTTTTCCTCTTTGCAATTTTGGTCGTCCTGTTTTATGTGATCCCTGTGTATGACTGTGAAGTGTGTAACATCTTCAACTGCATCCCATTGACGCGGGATTTCTGTGCCAGTCAGAATATCAATTTCAAGAGGGAAGAACCCGTGGTATGACGAAAGTGGGGTACGGTTGGCTGGAACCGTATGTGCATCTGCAGTGACCATGGATACTTATGGTCGAACATAGTGACAAAGCTCGTTACCCTGGCTGCATTGTGGAAATGGGATGTGTTCAGAAGCGTCTCCTGTGTGCCACACTTCGTATGGAAACCATGCAGCTGTGGACATGGACCACAAACTGAAAATTTAAAGTACACATAATTTTTTAAGTAAAGAGACTACGTACATGTCTGTTTTTTGTCAAAATTAATAATGGGTGGTCATCGTACTTTCTGCAGCAGTTGTATATAAATTTGTTTTGTGGACCAATAATTACTGAGCTCCACTTGAATGCGAGAAACATAAATGGCAGCTGAAACTTATACAAGATATTGTAAATACATACTTGTCTGTTTTCCTTTGAATTTCATCGTGCAATAAGAGGAAACTTGTCTGCGGTAACTGTGTAAATGAAAATGTGTTTATTTAATGTTTACTTTCCTTTAAAACAGAAAAAAGAAAAGGACAGTTATCATTTTTAACTGCTACAGAACTATTGTAGACGTGAACCTGTCTGTCCTAAACACCATTCCCCCTTATAACTAACACTGTACATATTTCTGACGAAACAGATCCACAAAAGTGCTTGTCATAATGTTGCAAATGAAATTATTCACACTTGAAATAATCATCAAAGTTTCACATGTTTCTGGATGCTGGAGTGCTGGGCAGCCAAATATGCATGGTTTTGGTTCTTGAGTAATGTGTTTCAAGCAGCTACATGTTTCTGTTGGTATTCTATGTGTCAGTTTTACAGTTCATCAGTAGTTATGCATCGAGGGTGTGAATCTTGCATAGAATTCATGACCAACTTGTTCACACAACGAAGGAGCAGGAACTGAATTCTTCTGTCTTTAGTCGCTGTTTCAGAGAGTATTAAAGTCAGAGAAGAAATAAGTGGGTAAAACCAAAGTGACAGTGATCAGAATTGCCATCTAAACTGTTATACTGCTCCATTCTTTATTTCTGAAGACACTCCTGTCATTGGAATGTTGTCATTCACAGCTGAATGTCATGGCATTCCATACACATGTCTGTGTGCTGCATTTATGGAAATGATGGCTCTTCAAACGTTTGAAGTATAACGGAGCAGACAGAACACAATGGTATAACATCCCAAAAGGCCGTAATCATAATGTTCCCTGCTGTAAGATCCTCAGATTTCAGTTCAGTGAAGTTATTATAATTAAATTTGGTAATTTTATAGGGAAGAGCAGTTTATATGAAGCATAGTTTGGCTACGTTCTAGTTACATCATGACAAGCTTGTAATTAAAGACTATAGCTCTTCAAAATTGAAGTGAAGGCAAATTATCATCATTCATGTAATGTAATGAGAAACTGTGTCAGGCTGTTGTTATGCTGGTAATGAGCACAGCTGACAAATACTCAGTCCAGAAGTACAGTTACATATATTGCCTTAATCAGTGTTGCAGTTGCTCTGTTTCATTAACAGCATACAGTACTGACCTGTCCTTGTCAGTCATGAAATCAGCCTGATTCTTTTGTTTAATTTTCTTAGAATTCCATTACTGACGAACAAAATTCTGAAATTGAGGAAAGGTGAATAGAAATGTATAAGAAAGTCAAATATCTTCTCAACCTTCTTGAAACTGCTAAAGAACACAGCCCTTAGGACTCTTGCATGTAAGATGCTCCTATTATGAAAATACCCAGATCTTGTTTCAGTAAATTTAAGTCCACTTTAAGTAAATTCTTAAGTAATGTGTTCTGATGACCAGTGTTTTTTTTTTCTGAGAACATGTTTTCCAATACTCATGTCAGTTTTCAGCCTCATGGTCAGAACATACAGTTGTACTGGCAGATATGTGCCATCCATCAGTTCTCCTTTGCCAGTATGTGTACTGGCGCATACCAGCACAAGAACAGGACTGCTGGTCACATTTTTGTTTGAATAGCCATCCAAATGTGCCATCAGATACGTTGCTTGCCTCATCTGCTTGTCACAAGAAGACAGAGTGAATGTGCATCCTGATATACAGGAAAGAAAGGTAACAGGTTGTGGGCTTTGAACTAGGAACCACCAGCACTAAAGAATCATCATCATCCACTACTTCCTTCCTGCTAAAGTAACACCTATAACAGAAATACCTACTTTCTCCTCCGCAAAATTATTTCTGTCATTGTGGCTGCCATGTTTGCTTGCAGACAAATGTTGCATGCTACAGTTAATTCTCTATTCATTCCTGTCACTACACTGAACCCATAATCCTTGTTGAATGATATCTGAATGTCAAACCTCTAGGATGGGGTGGAAAACAGACCTGCATCACATTTCGAGAAACTTTGCAACGTTTTGCAATGTGCCCTTTTTTTTTTATAACAATAACTTAAAATAAAAATGAATATAAAAACCTATACACACAAGTGTCTATATAAGAAATATATATATATATATACATAAAAGTATAGAAATGAAATGATCGTGTACAGTTTGTGATAATTTTTTCATCATGAAAATCATCATCCATAGTGCTTTTTTGAGCATGTGATATAATTCTTTTTATTGTTCATCATAAAAAGAACATCTGTTATGACTGGTGAATGCAAGAAACTGTGAAAGAATTAAACAATTAGTGATGTGTATCGTGTGTGTCCGTTTCTCTTGAGACATTTCCCTGTGTCATCTTCATGATGTGAAGGGAAGCTACGATTATAAACACTGTGGTGTCCTGTTCATCATGAAAATTATAAGAATAATATAAGCCATTTCTTTCTCTATGACCATGTATGAAGACAGACAAGCTTAACTGCACTCAAGGAGTAGCTATGAGCATATGATAACTATGTGAATTGCCTCTTATGACATTATACAAGGCTTAATTAACCTTTGAATTTTGGTAGGCACTTGGTGCATTGCACTGCTATTTATAATGGAAAACAAGAAAGGAATATTAGTGGGGGAGGAGGCAAATGCTGGGATACTGGGTGAAATATTTATTATGTTGCATGCCCATTACAAATATCATAGTAAGAGTACTTGTGCCTTGACCTCTCCCTGTGGAAGAGCTAACATTCTTCACACATAATATTGTTTAACCATTATGCTATGATTGTGTGCAGATCAAAATATGTGGGGAGAGATAGTAGTGGCAGTGCTTTTTNCGCGGGGAGGAGTTGCAACTCACGGCAAATTGCAGCCGCGGCGCGCACTTGATTGTACGCACTGTACTTGCAAATTTAATTTTGTAAATGTCTGAAACATGGCTCTGGCATGGTCCTTCAGCAATTGGAACTAAGTTATTAGAGGTGTAACAGATAAACTCATATAGAAATTTTAAGCATGTGTTTGAGATTACCACTATAACAATGTCTTGGGGCTGAATGTAGTGATAAGGGAATAGTCTGATGGAAGTTGTCAGTCCTGGAACACTCCTAAACTTACTTGGTGCTGAACACTGAATCTCCATTCAGAATTACTTGGTTTTTGGACTTTTTTTTCCATCCAAGAACCCAATAATGCTGAATGCTACGCATTATCATGAGAACCCTTTAGAATCTGAGTGAATCTCCAGTTCATTAACCATGGAAATTTCAAATTATGTAACCAACATGGGCTTGTGGAAAATTTTTGGAAGATTCTGGAAGTCAAGTATTATTTAAATATTGTATTTTATATTACAGACCCTCAGAAGTTGAGAGTCTCATTGTAGTGTGCTTAAGTATACAAATAGTTTGGTGCATTATGTGTAATTTGTGTAGAGGAAATGCTTTCACATACCAAGGAAAGCCAGTTCATTGTTGACCCAAATCTTTGCTTATTTGTTATTTGTAGGGAAAGTTTTGCTTCAAAATTTCAAGCCAGATGTTTGTTGAGGTCAGTTTTGTTTTTTTGGAATCATCATCATTGGCAGCCATAGCCTTCCTTAGAAGATTCTGCCAGATTGCATTCAGTTTTCACTTCACAACTATAATTTTTTTATGCAGGAAGGTCATCAGCCTTGTGTCAAACCCCCAACCTGAGGTCTCTGTATTTATGTCCCTCAGTGACAGGGTGGCAAATCAGAATCGCATTCAACAAGAAATTGTGTGCAGATTAAATTTGAGGAATGCTTGCCATCGTTCAGAATCTTTTATCTTCCTGTCTGCTCTCTAAAAACAGTTCATACATGCAAAATGGTAATTTTGCCTGTGTGACTGTCCTGTATGAAGAACGTGGCTTGAGGGTGCTGAGGGTTACGTTTAGACATACAGAATTAGAAGTGGAGAGAAGTGCTGTGAGACGTTTCTGATTTGTACTTTGCATCAGTTATTGTTAGTGTGATAAAATTAAGGAGGATGAATGGGACAGGGCATGTGAGAGATGTTAAATGTGTACAAAATTTTGGTCAGAAAATCTGCAGGCAAGACAGCATCTGGTAGACCTAGGTATAGATGGGTGCATAATATTGTCACGTGTTGGGTATGTCATGCGACAAATAACTTCACGTAGACTTCGGATTCAGCGATTTGTTCTCCTCTTACACTTATACACATCCTGCTGTGGTCACTTCTTGACTTCACTTTGGGGAATGCTGGACTTCAACTGTCTCGTTCGTACATGTCTACCTAGTTCTGCTTCCAACGCTCTTATATAGGCATTATGCAGACCTGATACCAGACACCATTTCTCATGGTTCCATTTCTGCTGTTTTGACAATCTGCTGTTATGCAATGAGCCTTCTGTTGTCCATCTCTGGGGAAACGTGTTCGTTGTTTTGGCGTTCTCTGTGCAACGGCCCACTGTTATTGCATTAACATGGAACATGTTACAATATTAATGTGGATCTTAAGGAAATATGGTATGAGGTGGACTGGGTTCAGCTGGCTGAAGAGGTCAGTGACAAGGGACCTGTGGGTTTCATAAGAGATGATTTTCATGGACAGCTGAGTGACTGTCACATTCTGCTTCGTGGAATTAGTTGCACACCGAGGGACTGGAGTGTCCAGTTTGTTATGTGTCTTGTATACTAACTTCTGTTAAGGAAGGGACATACTTGTAAGTGTGAGGTGTGCTGGCGTGTCAAGACCCGAGTGTTCATTATTAAACTTTTCTATAAATCTCGAATTGCTGTGGGTAAAACATATCGGAGCTTTTCATTCAGACTTTCGTGAACCTGATGCAGGCAATTGTATCATGTCATAAGAAGGCTCCAGTTTGTGTGAACTAATATTTGATTTATTTTTATGCATGGACAGAAACATTGGCCATGTGCATGTATGATCGCAGCCATGTAAGTTGTGCAGAAAAGCATCTATTTGAACTTTTATATCATTAATGTCAGTCACCATGTCTTTCAGTTTAATTAATTTCAATGACAGCTAACTAAAGGATGATGCAGTTGGAATGGACATGAATTTGCTTCCCTGAGGGAGCAGCACACCAAGTTCTTTTACACAATGGTTCTCCAGTTTTAG